ATTTCTTCTCCTGGTGAAATATCTCGAAGTGCAAATAAGCACAGGTGCGGCGTTCCATCCACCTCAGTGACTTTTATTTTGCAGTTTGGTTTCTTGTGTTCATCATTTACAAGCCTCCCTAAAGACTCGTCTTCAACGGATGCATCCACACTGAACAATAACAGACACAAAAACATGCACAGAAATGCATGTCTTATTTAAATCTGTAAAAAGCATTGGATATTAAGAGCACTTAGCAAACAGGTAAACATTTATTTTAATGTTATACAACAGTTAGTTCCAGCCACGCAAGCTGATTGTTGAGAAGCGTTCTAGCTGCGCTGATATTTTGCCATAACATCACAGGTTTTTCACAAATACTATCACTCCGCTGGGATGCTGTTGCTAAGCAATGAGTTTGACGAATCTGAACGTTTTTACTTCTTACTTCGCGAAGTAAAACTGTCATCACCACTGAGCAGCTTTTCAGTCGGCAGCTGTGACAGTAGAACAACTAATCAACCTGGAATCAACCAGACATGAACCCAACACCATTCGCCAAACGTGTAGTCTGATCTTCAGAGTCTCACCAAATCAGACTGAGCCATAAAAGTGCCACAATAAAAACCAGAAAAGCTCAGTGGTGATGACAGTTTGGGAATTTAGTGTAACGAGCTCCGTCCACTCGCTGCACAGCCGGCAGTTCGCTCTCCAGCTCGTTACTCTGACGCAGCAACAAGCTGCTCGTTAAGGAACTATAATTTGGTGAAGGAACTGTGAACATTAAAACATATTAAACGCCACGTTCACGGCCCAGTTTATTAATTTATTACTTTATTTATTTAACTGTTGTATAAAAGCAATAGAACACTCGAGGAGTGTGTTATCGCCAATAACATCGCGGCTGTGATGATCTACGGCGACCAAATCACAGCCGTGATGTTATTCGTGATAACACACTCCCTCTCGGGTTCTATTGCTCAATTATGATGCAGTAATTAGAGGGATGTCACTTACCTCCAGTACTTCCCTCTCCATTGAAAATCAAAAATAAACACTGTTTCTGAATTATTTTTCTGGGTAAGATTTTGTGTTAAGAGTTGCCCTCTGTACTCCAGGACAAAATCTCCCTTGCAAAAGTTTGCAGTTGAAAATACACCTCGCCCTGGGAAAAACATACAAAAAAAAGAATTATCCTACTATACACAAACACGTGAAAACATATTCACAAGATATCACACACTCAACAGAATCACATTTTCAACAAATAAAATGATTCACCTTTAAAAGAGCTGATGAATTTTTCCTCAAGACCCGGCTTGTCTGTCTTCATTTTGATGTAAATCTCAGCATCTTGCTGTGGACTAAGTTGTTTTTGTCTCATCAGTCTTTTTGCCATTTTGTCTTAACAGTCTTTCTGTTAAAAAAAAAAAATAAATAAATCTGTCAACATTTCGGCTTTAAAACATTTAGATTTGTCACCAATAACAGCAGACTATTCTACTTTAATCATAAAACTGTCAAACTGTCCAACTAATACTAACATTATCTACATTTTGTCTGACTTTCTTCAACAACCTCTTACAGTCTTGGGGGCTGCAGTCCAACAATTTAAGGAGTTTACTGTTTAAGCACACCTTTTTAACTCATTAGTTAATTAACAGGTTTAGCCAGTGTGTTTGAGCAGAAAAATCAACAAATTGTGCAGAACTGTGACCTGGAGTTGCAAATTCCTGAACTACATCAATGAAGATCAGTCACTTATGCATTTTCCCCATTATAATAGAAAAGTTTCCATTAGAATAACTAATATTCAGTATCAGTAGTATCACATGCATTAGCAAATGCCCTACAGAAAAACCCAACATAAATAAATAAAGAACACTCACACCACTTTTAAAATTATTAATCAGAAACTTTTAGCTTTTCAGATAATCTCTTAATAATGTTTTAGCCATAAAACAATAGCTGATTAGTGAGCCACGGTAACCAGACAAGTCACACTGGAGCCGGTTAAAGAGCCAGCGTGCGACTCTGACCCTAGCTAGCGCGCTACCAGCTAACACGCGCCACGTAACGGGTTACATTCGGCCTCACTGCCTCTCAGACATCAGCCACTGAAACAGCATATGTTAGCTGGCATTCGCAGTGCTGCCGCAGGGCCTCTGCCTCTCAGATAATCACTTAATAAAGGTTTAACCATCAAAAAACAAGTTAATTTCTAAACTAACTAAGACAAGTACACTGGACTCGATTACGGCGCTAGCCTGCAGCCGTTAGCTTAGCTACCACCTAATACACGTCTTATAACAGGTTAAATTCAGTCTTACTATGTCTCCAACATCGGTTACTTGACATCATTTGCTCAAATTAGATGTTTTATCTTCTAAACCTGCATCACTTGAGCATTTGCTAGCATAGCAGCCAACTAACTTTAACTACCATTTACGTAGTGCGTCATCTCTGCTGCGTTAGCATCGAGAGCTAACGTTACGGAGCACGGTGGAAAGGGAGCTGGCTGCGGCCAAAGGCGAGCTCGCTAGCGGCGAGCTGCACTCACTATAGAGCATAATCCATTCCTCATATAGTGCTGATCCTATAAACACGTATGGATTATCAATGAACAGCTCAAATCAAATCCGCCTTGTGGTGTGTAGTTAGTTATTTAACTTGGAGCCGTTTCAAAGAAGCTAACTTCGAAGCTAAACAAGCTAACGCTAGCTAACTAGTTAACTAGCTTCTTTATCCACACTTTTCACAGATGCTAACTTTGGCAAAAATGCGTTTAAAAGTAATTCATGACTTTAGAGTCATCAGTATTTTGCTCAAACCACGTACCTTGTCCAGCGTCTTCGTTCTTCGTGCAGGTTCTCCCTTGTGCTCGGGGCAAAATCCTCCTCGGCCAAACGTGGATAAAACCATGCGGGAGCTTTGGGTTTCATTTTGATTCAGTCCCTATTACAGAAATAGTGGACTACATAGTCTGAAACCATTTAGTCCTGCTGTACCTGAGTTGTATAGATTGCTCCCTAATAAGTTCACACTAGCAAATGAGGGATGAGTGAACATTCTGAACACAGCATATGTTTGCTGATATTAGCAGTGCTGCTTTCGGATTTTTTACTTTATATACACAATTTGTGACTGTATTTGCGTTTTTCACGTCCACTAGTTGCCAATTAATGATGCTAATATGTTAGCGTTAGCTCAGCACAATCTAGTTAAATATTCATAATTATAAATATTAGGAACATTTTAATGACGGTGTTTGTGTAGAGTTAAATTACAGCTAAAATCAGTCTATTTTTGTAGAAATCAAAATGATTTTCTAAACGTATTCTATATATAAGCTACTGAATGTCTAAAAGGTCATAGCTAATGTTTAATATACAGCGCTACCGTTACGCTTATAGTAGGCTTACGCTGACAGACTTCCTCGTTTGCTCCAAGCAGGGCTGTGATTGGTCTAAATGGATCATGTGACCCGGGTGCAATTCACACACTTCCATTAGGGGGCGCTTTACAACATACACAGATTTGGGTGGGGGGGGCGGTGCTGCAACCATACACACACACAAAAATCTGAACTATGACACAATTTGGGTCAGAGGAGATTTTAAGGTAGAAACGCACTTTGGAGCACGCTGAACACGTCTGTATACATAAAACAATTGGGGACACACTTTTTGTCCCCAATTCCCAAGCCGTCCCCAATTTACTGGTGTGTACTCTGACATTATTCCCCAAAAGTGTCCTAAGTCAACACACACACACACACACACACACACACACACACACACACACACGTTCCAGCTGCTGCTCAGTCTCTCTGTCTTGCTCTCTCTGGACCAACTTCTCAGAGGGTTGCTTTTCTTTTAATTGTATTTTTGCTACTTTTTGGCTATAGAGATTGCTGGGCTTAGCAGGTTATATGTATATACAGTTGTATGCAAACATTTGAACACCCCAGTCAAATTAAACGCTTTGCTCATTTTCTGAGTGAAAAAAAAATTAACACATCCCTTTTAGGAACAAACTTTTTTCTGTAAATTTTAGTGCCCAGATGGTTTGCTGAGTTTAATGTGCCATAGTGCTTAGACCACTTTGTCCACCCCACCACCCATTTATACATTAACAGAAATTGTGCATTAAAATGTGCAGACCCCATTCTCTGTAGAAAAAAATGTGTAAACTTACCACTAAGAAAATCAACAAAGCTTGTAATTTGGTGCCCAAAACTTTGCATATGACTGTATATGTAGGTTTGCCAAGCATAATTAGCAATTTGGAAATCCTTCAGTACAGAGTCTGGGGGGCTGCACTCAGTTGTTTTGAACTTATTCAAAGCTTGAGTGCTAGCATATATAAATAAAAGTACTACTAGTGTGGCTGTTTTGCAAAAACAATGAGTCACAGATGTAAGTCTTGTTTGTATCAGTGAGCAGGATTTGGAGGGTTACTTAAACATGTATTCCAGTAATGGTTAGAGATGTAATGTGTAATGTATAACCTAATCCAAAGGATAAATTTACTAAAGTAACATAATCAAATTACTTTCCATTGTTTAAATAAATGGTTTTAAAAAGACAAATAATTCAAAAGTAAATACAAGCTCTTATTTTTAGTGAAAAGGCCAAATCTAAGTAAAGTAATATATGAAAACAAAAAGATGAAACATTTGTACAGTGTACATTGTGCAGGTTATCATTCTGTAGGCCACCTATGCCTAAAGCTCTCCACAAGGGGGAGCTACAGCTGATAACCAGCTAAACAAAGGCTACTTAAAATGAAAGTTTAGCTCGTAGAGATGACCACAGTCAAGAGAATCACCAAGAGTGATGTGCAATAATATTTTAATGCAGGTAAGAGAGGTTTTAATGTGATCCTGATAGAAGTTTTGGATCGTGATGTTCAGTGCTGTTACATATGGACATCTTTATTTTTTATTTTCTATATTATTTTTTCCTAGATTGTGTTTAAATAAGCAGCGTTTAAACTTGTCTCTTTTCCTCTCTCTGTAGGTTAGCACACAGTTGAGTAGTCCTATGGCATCTCCTACTCAGTCTCCCACTCCCTCTCCCTCCAGCAGTGGGAACAATGTGTGTCCTGGGCTCGGCCCACTGCCACTCATTTCTCAGTTCCCTCGGCCCGGCGGACCAGCACAAGGTACCTGCAGTTGCGTACATGCACGCACATTTTCAGCATAGAGGAGAGCGGGACACAACCTAACACAGGGTAAAACATAACAACCGAAATTTTGATTCACCCTGTAGATTCTTTTTTTTTCAAACCATAAAAATAACTTTTTTCATCACATTTTTTTAATTGCTGAGATGTTTGTAAGTGAAATAATTACTCCTATATTATATTAATGTCCAACTCCTAGTGAGAACTAGCCAGGCTAAGGTACAGCCTCCAAACGGCGTGGTAATACAGTGTTACAAACCTCCTAATTAATGCAGTGAAAGGAATCCATATCGCTATTGTCGGAAGAAATCTGCATATCTCCAAAATGATAACTTTACAGGAGAAGGAAAAAACCCACTTTACTTTTAATGTAAGTCAGTATAACCAGACCTTTTTCCAAGTAATTTTAGGCTGTTTCTCTTGGTCCATTCTTTATAAAATTTACACACAACGTAAAGGGCAACAGGCATTTTCAAATTATGTCAAAAACTAAAAAAAAACGGCACAAAATGGAGATACACGGTTGTCTTCCGACAGCAGTAAATTCAAAATAGTTTTACTTACATATTCATCAAAAACATACTATAGATGTCAGATAAATGAAATATATTTAAGTTTTATCATTCTGACATTAGCTTTCTTACATTGTGGTCTAAAATAATTTGCCACGGTTGACACAGCCTGTTTTTACTAATAAGATTTATTTTGATGAATATATTTTTATGTATTTAAGATGGAAAGCTCACTGAACTGCTTTGAATTTAATGTGTTTTGCATCGATTTACCAGACCTTTTAGTGATTGTTACTAGCCTGTTTGTCTGTTACAATTAAACCTCCCTATGGGGCGAATTCTAACGTTTTCATAAACGGTAGGAGCTCCAAAGTTTATGTATGTATCTGTAGCAGAGATGAATAGGATGTTTGTATAAAAAATATTAATATTGCTCAAATATGGTAACTATGCAGCAAAAACAGCCAATTTTGAATTTATTGTTTCTGTGATGGCATGAAAAACCAAATCATTTACATATATCCTCCTGTTCAGCTTGAAGCAGTTTGGCCCCACCCATTCATGCTGAAGTTATAAGGGGAGTGTTTCAGCTCTGAGTACTTTTTGAATGAGGTGCAATACAGGACGGCCAATCAGAACAGAGCTCATTTACATATATCAGTATAAAGGCATAGCAACAAGAACATCTTGTTTAATTCTACTGGATAAAGAGAGGTTAATAAATGCAAGTGCAGGATATGGGTCAGTGTCTCTTCACACACAAACACAAACATGCATGTATCCAGTGCATGCACACCATTAAGTCAGCGTTGACTCATGACACAAGTTGCGCGTGTCACTGCCACCCTGCCTGCCAGTAGATCACAGATTATGTTGCAGTCTGCCAACAGTTCACAGTGTCCTGATTAGATTTTACTGTACAGATACAAACACTCACACTTAAGCGTACTCTCTGGTTTCCAGTCTACCCTATTGATGAAATGTGACCTGATCTTGGCTTTGGCCCGTTTCCAGGAACTCTTTGCTGTATGTGTTACAGGAGATGGCCGATATTCCTTACTGGGGCAGCCGCTGCAGTACAGCCTGTGTCCTCCACCCCTCATGCACAACCACAGCCAGTCATCCTATAGCTCCCACCAGGTGAGGGGTGTGTGATTGTATGTATTTGTTCTCCACATGCGACCATGTCAGTCAGTCAATCAACCTTCATTTAAACTCTGAGTACCCTGAGGGTGACCCTTATTTACGAGGTAGCAGAGTATTATACCAAAAGGGACTGAAAAGCGTAAGTGTAAGTGTAGCACAGAAAATAAATAAGACCATTGTGCCCTTTAACTGAAACAATGATTTTCACTGTTCTCCTCCTCATTTCATCATCATCTCAGTCTGTCTTTCTTCTGTGTACTCCACTTTTTTTAGTTCTGTACACTCCATTTAGTTTCTCCCCTTACTGTCCATTGCTCACTCTCTCCCACAATAGCCTCGTCTTATTTTAAGCTGTTCGGTTACTGACTTTGTTCTGTGTTTATGTATGTGTGTCTTAAGAGTCCCGGAGTGATAAAGCATGGAGCCCGAGGGAAGAAACAGACACTCAAATCTGCTTCTACAGATCTAGGAACTACTGACGTGGGTAAGATGCACATAGACACTCGCACCTTACAGGTACATCATAATTGAAAGTGCTGAAAAGCAGCATATCTTTAGGTTTTGCCATTTAAATTTTATTTTGTATCATATTTTTTACAGTGTAGGACTCTTAGTGATTATTAAAGGGGAATTCCAGAATTACTTCAAAATTCCTGCATAATTTACTCATTGAGATGTAAATAAAGTTATGTCGAGTGGTCTAATGTGAAATGGTGCCTTGCAGAAAAACTTCCCGAGTCAGATTTTCTTTACAGTGGTGCTGATAGGAACCAGAGGTCATGTTCTCTACACTGTAGATACAGCCATTTTGTTTACTATTAAAAAAACAACCAGTGGACCAGAACATATCTCCTGAGTGTTTTATGCAATGTTGATAATGGCAGAATCGTAGTTAATGTGAGGTCTTTGAGTACTACATTGCCTTATGACACCCAGCATGTTCCCCATACTGAAAACTATGTTTTAGCCCAAAAGTTTATTGCAGAACTATTGTAAAATAATGTCTCAGGCATCAGGCAGCCTATTTGTAACCATTTCAGGTCACAGCTTTCTGTGAGGTGGCTTTTAGAGGCATTAAATGCTACAAGTGTCTGGTTCCTATCACCACCAAAGTGAACAATTCTGACATGGTAAGTACCTCTAAAGTGGTGCATTTCATTTCAAACCACTCTGAAAAATCAGTGGAATTCCTCTTTAATGATGTAGGTTTTTAAACACCAGCATGGTGAGCTCATAAAAATGCTTTATTCAGCGATTGTCTGAAAGTACCTGCCAGATATTTGAAACGACCACTATAAACATTCAAAATTCAAAGACTATGTCAAATAATGATGAATCCCTTTGCGCACTAGGATGAGCAAAGTTCAGGTTATAAAAATATCCTGCAGCCAGCTGATTTGGAGTGATAGTTATTGTGATGTTGCTGTCTGTCTCAGGTTCTGAGCTTCAGTACAGGTTGTTAATATAAAGCTTATTCTGTGATTTAAGAATGAGTGATATTTTGTCTCTTCAGTTGTGAGCCGTGTACTGGAGGTGACAGACCTGCCCGAGGGTATCTCTCGTCCTGAGGCCGAGAAGCTCTTCAACCAGCTCTCCCTCTGTGGTGCCAAAATCCAGTGGCTGAAGGACCCCCAAGGGCCCCGGGGAGCCACAACAGCCCCAGGGCCCGGCGGAGGAGGAGGCAAGAGCGATGCACACGACCCAGCTCACCTCTACACAGTGGTGGCAGTGTTCCCCAACACCATGGCTGCCCAGAGCGCTTCCTTCAAGCTGAACAACAGCGGAGGCAGCCTGTTCAAACTGCGCGCCGCCAAAAAGAACTATGACCTGCGCGTGCTGGAGAGAGCCAGCTCCCAGTGAAGAGAGAGAGAGGGAGGGAGGGAGGGAGGAGGAGTGGAGAAGGGGATTCTGGTGGTCATTGAGAGGAAGCTGAATATGCTAAAAGGGAAGAGATCATTCTGGTGTTCTCAGTCTTTTTTTTCTTTTTCTTCCCTCCCCCCAGGTTCTTTTTTCTTTTCCTTTTCTTTCTTGATGCCATTACCCGAAGAGCACATAAGACACGTATGCATGTGGAACTCTGTTGCTGTATATGTAATTACATATGTACACATACATAGACACATACACATTGGCAACAGAGCAGCGTCCGCACATAGAGATGCACTGGACAGAGGAACTTGGATTAGCCCCTCCCCCTCCACCGTCATCCACCTTCCTTTTTCTATCCCTCTTTCATTCTGTCCCTCCATTCTCCCTCAGTCCTTATATGCAGTCTTTCTGTCTCTCTCTTTTGCTCTGTCTTTCTTTTCTCTCACTCTCACACTCTTCTCGCTCTGCTTCTCTTCCTCTGCTCCCTCTCTTGCTGATTCTTTTCCTGCTGCTCTTCATTTTCTCTCTCACGTGTTCATTCTCAAACTCTTGACTTTCTCTCTTTCACTCTCTTTCAGCTGTTTCTCGCTTGCTTTCTGTTTGCCTTAATGCTGTTGGTGACTTCTATATCGCGCTGTTTTCTTTTCACTCTCTCTCTCTCTCTCGGATGAAATAATGTTCTTTTTTTCGGTTCGATATATTTATATAAGTGATGTAAGGATTATAAGAAATCTATATATTCAGTGATTTTTTTTTTTCCAGTGGATAAGTTAAAGCTCCTTTACTACCCATCCCCGTCCCTCACTTCTCCCCGTCTCCCTCGCCCTCACCCCGCATTCCCTCATTCCTTACCCTCCCTCCTTCATTGTGTTTTGCGTTTTTCGTTGACAGCTGTGCAGGAAGTTATCTGAGGTATTTAAAAAGTGCACAATGATTGCAAATGTCTACTGTAAATTCCATTTAATCTGTTCTTTTTTTGTTTGTTTTTAAAAATATAAAAGACGACAAAAAAGAAAAGAAACGTGTCTGTGATTGTTCTAACAAGATCCAAACTATAGAAGCATGTGCTTGTGTGAGGGAGCTTAAATAGGACATATCAAATGCAGTTTTGACTATATGCAATCATACGCAAAAGTTTGAACACCCCCGGTCAAATGATGTGTTTGATTTTTATCCTAAATGGGGAACAAACTAAGAAATTGTGTTTTTCAGCTAATTTTAGTGCACAATTTGTTCATTTGCTCAGTTTAACCTATTGGCAAAAATAAAACATAAAATACAATGTGATATATATAAAATTCGCTTAGAAAATCAACAGAATGTCATTTGACTGGGGCACCCAAGCTTGCATTAAATTGTATGTATCAAGACACAAACACATTTTACATAAAAAGTTATGATTTATATTTCATATTTTTTATAAATGTGCTTGATTATCCTGTGAATACATACGATTCATGAGAGTTTGAGGCACCACACTGTGGTCACGTTGTTTACAAAGTAACACTACAACACATTGAAACCAGATATTTGGATAAATCCTCAGACTGTTCATTGTGTTTATTGAAACTTGATTCAGTCGTATATATCACTGCTGTCGGAACAAAACCTCATCTCCATTTTTATTGTTTTCCAGTTTTTGTCATAATTTGAAAATGCCTGTTGTCCTTTACATTGTGTTTAAATTTCATGATGAATGGGCCAAAAGAAACAGCCCAAAATTACTTGGAAAAACATCTGGTTCCATTGACTTACATTAAAAGTAAAGTAGGTTTTTTCCTTCTCCTGTAAAGTTATCATTTCAGAGATACGATTTGTTCTGACAGCAGCGATTATACTACTGTTCGAAAGTAGCATAATCACTTGCCGTATTGACATTTAGTTATTATATTTACAGAAATAGTTTGTATATGTAGATTTAAATATTACAGACTATTCAACAAGTTATGTCTAGGTGTTTTATTGAATATTTCAGTATTTCATTTTCATATCATGGAAAAAATTCTCTTTGTGCTTTTGAAATAAAAAGTTTGACGTAGTATGTGAACAGTAAGTTTTAAAATGTACCGTTCAGTCCCCAGTCCATAGAGTCAGCATGTGGAAGTTAAGCTGCAACAGCCCAGTCTGAATGTTGTTATTGTTTTGTGAATAACACATTACACATACATATAGAGCACTTTAGCTCCACCAATTTACATTGAAGAATTTTGGAGGATGGACTGTAAACTCTGTGTGGTCTCTCTTATGTGTGATAATGATTAAGTCTGCTGTGTTGCCATATTCAGAAGGTCAGCACGTTAAGTGATTTAAAAGAACTTGTCCATTTGGTTTGTCCGTTTCTTTCAGTCTGGTATAAACATCTGACAGGTGCAGCTGTTTGAAATTCTGTTTTTGGGTCTCACAACCACCCAAAGGGGACGGCTGCATTGCTTTCTGAATCCCCCACCTGTTGAGAGCGGGTGAGGGGGGTTTTGGTTCAATTCTGAAGACCAGTCACACCCTGACGCTCCAGCCAGAGTGGAACTAAAGCAGTACTTGTACAGGAAGGTAAGAGACTAAGAACTACTTCCGAATTAATTTCGGTGTTCACAGATTTATTGTACTTGATTTCCTTCGAACAGCTCAGTAAGTGGAAGAACTAAAAACGGGCTTCCTCATCTCTCTGATGGTTTTCATAATGTAGATTTGTTTAGGAAATGATTTGAGCTCCATAAATGATCTAAATAGATATCCTCCTTTAGAATCCCTTCCGTTAACGTAGACTTGGCGAAGACTGCCCCGGATGGAATGAAGCCTTCTCTCACGGCATGATGAATGAAGTTATATGGAAATTAATTGAGCTGATGTGAGCTCAGTGCTCAGAATTTACCCAGGAATGTAGCTAAAGTGGTTTGAGTGGAAATCTGTCATTGGGTTCACTGTTTAGCCTATAGACTGCCTTAAACAGGGCTTGATGATTCAAGTCTTTTAAGGCCGTTAAATTGAGGGTCTATGGCAATTTTCTTGACACAGCTTATGGAATGTTGTGGGCTCAGTTTTCCAGAAGCATCTTAGTGTGAAGATCATCATAAACGGTAGAAACTGTGTTTACTGGGATACTTGCTCTACCATTTTAAAATCGCCTTTGTGTTAGGATTATCTTGGGAAACTCGGCCCTGTTTTTCATATGTTGTGTAACTCGGCTCTGAAGGAGTTTAAATTTTTGAAAGAATTACCAGAATTGAGCTTTTGGCCCAGCACACACTGTTTTACCTATTAACTTTGCTGTTTTAGTCATATATATTGCTGTCTGACCATTAAAGGTGATTAACATTTTGAATTGAGTTGCAAAAAGAACATAGAGTCTGTATCTTCTCTGAATTTAGTGAGTTTTCATAATAAATGATTTGAAACATAGGCCTTTTCACAGTGCCATAACTAGGATCTTATTTTTAAATTAAAAAATAACTTCTCCTTGCTGTCTGAACAAACCCTTGTATCTCCATTTTTGCTATATTTAGTTTGTTATTTTGTTATTTATAGAATTGCCAGCTGCCATTTACATTGTTTTAAAAATTTCATGTTGAATGGAGCAATAGAAATGGTCCAAAATTACTTGGAGTGTAAGTGTGTTCCTGTATCTTGTTAAAAGTTCTAACATTTTTTCCTATCTGCTGTAAAATTAGCACCCTTGAGAGATGTTTTGTCACAAAAGCACATCTTAATTATTACAGAGTAATTTACTTGTTTATTTGCTATTGTTATGTCTCAAATAAGTTGATGCTCTCATGGCACCCCACCCACTAGCATCCAACCTTAACCTATATGTTTGCATTAGACTACCTATTGTGTCAGTATCTAAATGAGGGGCCCATTTAAGATTTTAGGGGTCCCGATCACCATGGGCCCCAGTGCAATTGCCTCCTGCCTCACCGATAATCACACCACAGCCTATACAGGTACCTCACCAAAAAAAATGCATCTTATTTTGAGATTTTTATGCCTACAGCACCCTCTGCTGGTCATAGAAAAGGTCATCCACTGTCAACTATGTCACAGTATGACCAGTAAGTGTCACCCATCAAATGTTTTCTTTCTCTTTCCATTTAATAATCAGTCCTTTTAGTCAAATTACTTATTGCTTTATATTCAGAACAGGAGATCTTAGATCTCTCTGCTGGTTGTCCAGTTTTAAGCATAACCTTTTCACTAAAGCACCCTCTTTGTGTAAGTGTAAGTCGCTCCCCCTTGGCTGTCTGCTTCCTTATAGGCTGGATGACAAAGACTCTGTGGACATTCATGACAACCCTCCTGCTCCAGACAATGTGGTGAAGGAGGAGAACAACACGGTGGGTCCAGTCACAAACGCTGCACAACCTCACACACAATCCTCAGCCTACTATGATGGCCCCAGTGCACAGGCCGACCCCCTGTAATCTCCAACATGGGTCAAATAGTCAGGGCCTTCCACTGCTTAATGCAAGACAACTCAGATTTATCCCTCTGTTCCCAAAGCCATAATGATGCAGCAGCTGGTTGCGTCTGTCTTTTTGCTTTGAAATATATTTAGGAATGATGCCAAGCCCCTTTCCTGTAAGCTCTGCTCAGAGAGTTATTGGCTCCTGTTCAGAGTTCTTTCCATATTCCCGCGTGTGCACATGGAGATGTGTGGTGGGTCTGGGGTAAGCAGCGGGAGTATGTGGGAGGCAAAAACAGATCGCCCGCAGCAGCGGGGCCCTCTGAAATCCTAGGTTCCCAAGGGATTCTGGAGAACAGGTTGAGCGTTAGTCACGGACAACGCAACAACATTTCTGCCGAGAGCTGTAGATCCAGCTCTCCTCAGAGACCAGACAAAAATAGAATCATCCAAACTCTCAGGATTCTAGACGTTCTTGTTGAGTTGAATATATCCATCCCCTTATGTTTTGACATCTTATAAGAAACAGTTTAAAAGTGAAATCCACCAATTTCTGTGTAATTCAAATGTTATTTACTGTCCAAAATGACCAGTGAACTTACGCAATATGTAATTTTGATGGTAAAATAATGGCAAACCCAAAGTGTATGTTCTCTTTGGGTGTTTGTTTTCCTTATAATGCCCATTCATGGACTTTTCCACCTGCAATTATTTTAAATATACATTTCTAATCTCAAAACTATCATGAAACAATGGTAGTTATAACCATTTCATGTGGTAACTTTCTGTGCTGTAGCGTTTAGAGGCATCAAACTTCCTGTTCCTGTCACCACCACTGTGAACAATTCTGACAAGGCAAATTTCTCCAGAACATGCTTTTCATATCAAATCACTCTCAATGCATACATCTTAACAATTTCATTATGCTGAATTTGTTTTTACTAAATCAGAGGACACTGCATTCAAATTTTCTTTGCCACTTTAAATTGGTTACATTCTGACACCTGTGCAGTAATAAGAATAAGCAGCGATGTAACTGCTGAACCATTTAAAGTGGAACAAAAATTTCAAATAAAAAGCCACTTCAGCCTTGTCAGTCTTTCATGAAATCTCTCAGAGGTGTCTTTCACACACAGCGTACGCAGCTGTAAAATCAAACAAAGCACAAGTTCTGATGAGCATTTGAAAAGAACTTGGAGAAAACACTACACATGAGTTGCGATTCTACAGAACTTTCCTTTGCTTCGCTCTGCTAGTGTCTGAATCTGTAGGATTTCCCTGGATTGTCCAGGTTTGTGTTGCATGTCCAGGAACACAATTAATTCCATTCCTGGACATAAAATGTCCAAGCATTTTCACATGTACGTTCTTCTTATGAAGTGCTTCTTTTTAACCCAGTTTTTATCCAGTTTATACTTGTATCATTTGTATACAAAGACTGGGGTTGATTAGTTAGATTACGTCAGTTATTTTAGCAAGGGTTAACTAATGGTGATATGTTTAGGCACTTGAAGGAATGTACTGCCATGTGATGATGTACTGATTAGGCTCTGTAGCTGAACCGACATCTATGTACCTTAGACAGCACTGTGAGCATCGCTGCTATCATTGAATGTAGCAAAAGTCAAGCCACTGATCAACTGGCCACAATTTTAGTAAGGTGGCGACCCTTTGAGTGGGTAGAAACATTCTTATCAGCCTGTTAAGTGAAGGAAAGTCTGGAGTGGCACCCAAGGTCTGTCACCTCACAGCAAGAAGGGCCTGGGTTTGATTCCTGGCCGGGCAACCAGGGTCCTTTCTGTGTGGAGCTTTCATGTTCTCCCTGTGTCTGCGTGGGTTTCCTCTGGGTGCTCCGGTTTCCTCCCATGTTCCAAAGACATGCAATCAGGCCAAGTGGACACACTAAATTGCCCCTAGGTGAGAGTGTGTGTGTGAATGTATGTGTCTGTCCATCTGCCCTGCGATGGACTGGCGACCTGTCCATGGTGTTTCTTGCCTTCCGCCCAATGACTGCTGGGGTAGGCTCCAGCACTACTGGCCTAATCCTTTCCACTTTGGATGATCCGTAGCCTTCCTGGTTCACTTAGAGAACTCCTTGACATCATGTCTGGATGTCCTAAATGTTCATTTTTCCCTAAAGACAAACTTTTTTGTCCAATAATTAACAGCTTAATATGCACACAATTTTACTATTTTGTATGCATGGGGCTTTTCATTACACTCCTGAAATTTGGTTGTGTCATGTCTCACATCTCTGTGATTCCCTATCTCAGGTCTACTTTGTCTACGATGAAGAGATAGAAGTGGAAGAGAAAGAGGAGCCCCCTCCCCCAGAGCCGGTCAAGCCCATCAATGATAAACCACACAAATTTAAGGACCACTACTGCAAGAAGCCCAAATTCTGTGATGTGTGTGCACGCATGATCGTTCGTAAGTGTGCCAGTTTGAGAGGAATCAGTGATACGGTGCTGCTGATTCATTTCATTTCGTCTGATCACATCTTGTTTCTTTCTCCTTGCAGTCAATAATAAATTTGCACTGAGGTGTAAAAACTGCAAGACCAGTATTCATCATCAGTGTCAGAGCTACGTTGAGTTCCAGCGGTGCTTTGGAAAAATTGTGAGTAGCTTCCTAATATTACATTATGATGCAGTATACTACATTACGTACGTATACCTGCTGAATGTAATGTTTCAGCACTCTCTCTCTTTCCCTCCCTCCCACCAGCCTCCAGGCTTTAGACGGGCATACAGCTCTCCTCTCTACAGCAGTCAGCAGAATGCCACTGTTAAAGAGCTGCTTCCCTTCTGTGAGTACATCTCCTCAACCTTCAACCAGCCTCTAATGTTCTCATCTAGACCCATCTGTCAACTAAACCCCTCCTAGACTGTTTTCAGCATCATAACTGCAAAACATTCTGATTATATTTTCTCCTTAGCCCAGTCTAACCGCACTGACCCGGTGTTTGAGACGCTCCGTATTGGGGTCATCATGGCCAACAAGGAGAGAAAGAAAGGATCAGAGGATAAGAAACATGTAAGGTTTCAAAAGACAGAAGAACTGTATGAGACCAAGAATAATTCACCCTAAATAAATACTACTGCTAAGAACGTCACTTTCAGAACAGCCAACTCAACTCAGCACTTGTTTTAGACAATGTTGTATCAATTAAGACCTTTTTTGTCATCTCCTACATGTGGGTATTGGTCGGGCAGCTGGCTATACGTTGCTCCTGGCTGGCTTGCCAGTTGTTAGATTTTGATGTAGGTTGCATTAAGTTGTAGAGCTGTTTTGAAATAAACTGATAAACACTGTGTGCTTTGGAGGAGGGAGACTTTATTAAATATAAGCTCCCCACACAAAAAAAATCACCTTATGTGTTTAAGGTGGTGGTAACTTCAGGTTCCTGCAGAAGGTGTTGTACGAGGATGATCGGGCTATAAATACCTATGAGGTGTGTGAGGGGATTCATAGATTGAGAAGAGGTGGTACAGTGCAGTGAATGAGGTGTGGAAAATGGGTCACAAAGCAGATGTTAATAATTGGCAAAAAAGAGTGATTGCATTTGGGCGTGCCAAAGGCTATAGTGTAAAGGTAGTTGAAAGTAACTGAATTTGCAGGTGTATCAAAGTGTACGGTAATACTGGTCTACCAGCAGTGGCAAAAATGCCTACGCAGGGAACTGCATACCCTGAACGTATGGAGCAGAGTGACACAAAAGAGGCCTTTGCTCAATTCAGCTCACAAAGTTTCCCAGTTACAGTGGGTGAAGAGACACGAAAATTGGACTGTTTATGACTGGAAACGTGTTATCTGGTCAGATGAATCTCGTTTCTGCCTGTATGTGAATGATGCTCGGCGTTGTGTTCATAGTAGACCTCAGGAAGCCTTCAATGAGGACTGCGTGCAAGGTGTGGTTCAAGCTGGAGGAGCTCTGAGATGTTCTGAGGGTGTTTTACTTATGCAGAAATGGATCCTTTGGTTGAGGTGACAGTAAATTTGAACCACAGTGCCTACATTGAGCTGCTGGACAACTGGGTTTTTCCTTTCGCTCATCATCTTACCAAGGAACATAACATTCCTATCCCTGTATTCCAAGATGACAACTTTCGTGTTCACAGAGCTGCAAGTGTGACTGATTGGCCTGAGGAACAATCAGGAGCATTCACACATCTGGACTGGCCTGCAAAATCCCCAGATTTGAATCCTCTTAAAAATCTGTGGGACGACCTGGAACAACAAGTAAGACGGCAGAGTAGGCATTCATGAAATTTGGCTGAACTGTGCAAATCTTTGATGCAAGAGTGGCTGAACATTGACGTCACCTACATCCAGAAACTTGTCCAGTCCAGGCCAAATCAAATCACAGCTGTTATTCGTGCTTGTGGAAGTATTACATGCTATTAAGTACATTTCAGGCACAGGTGACTAATTTTTGTCTGGTGAGCTTACCTTCTCATAGAGATGTTAAACAGAGAAGCACGTAGACTTTGGGGTGTTACTTCCTGCAATCTGGTCCAAACAATTTCTCCCCGTTTAGTAATGGACAAATAACAGGTACAGCTAAAAAGGGAAAAAGTTTATGAATGAGCTTGAAGTTGGCTTGACAAAGCCAGCTAACAGTGCTTCAAAAGTTAAAGCATTTGCAGAACAATGTTGATTGTTTTTGATAACTTAATTGAGTTTATATATTCCAAGTGGTTGCTATGGTGTTCCAGCTTCTTGGTTGTTAAGGTGTTGTTAGGCCATTGATATGATAACCCAGGCGGTTACCAAGGTGTTTCTAGGCTGTTGTTTGGTAGCTAAGGTGGTTGCTAAGGTGTTGCTATGCTGTCGCTACAGTATTCAAGGTGAGTGCTAAGGTATTAATAGACCTTTGCTATGCTATCCCAGGTGGTTGCTAAGGTGTTGCTGGCGTACTTGAATGGTGGTGACATAAGAGGAGTGAGTCAGTTTCAGGATGCTGCTAGCTTGAAAGCTGTAGGAGACGTAGCGTTGCAAATCTTTGATCATAGAATAATAATAATAATAAGAAGAAGAAGAAGATCAAGAAAAGTAAATTGGCCTTTTCAGGCCTGCTTAATAAGAAGGACAGAGAGCAGAAACAGAAAAGAAACAGAGAAAGAACAGGACACATGGCCCCCATGACTAAATTCCTGGCTCTTATTTAAGGGAGTAAGCTTAAATGTGAGCCAAGAGAATTTTGACCACTTTCCTCAGACATGTTGCCAGAGGTTTACTAGGTGATCCACTGATATAAGGCAGTGGTGAAATATGTTTGTACATATTTTCCAGACTTCACCACTTCCTTTCCATTCACTTATTTTTACACTTTTGCTTGCCCAGATGATGATGATGGAAGAAGAGGAATCACAGCCTAAAGCTGAGGAAGGAACAGGAGAGGAAGGTGAGAGAGATAAAGTGTGCATAATTTGATATGTTACTAAGTGTAAGATAACACCCTCATCTCTGTCCAGCGAACAAAGAGACAGAAAAGAAAGGAGATAAAGCAGCATCCGAAGACAAGGTTAGAAACTACAGGCCTTAACTTACTGCCATTGATCACATAAGTATTTAGTGTTGAGTGTTTACGATACCAAATGTACACTGATCATCTCTGTACTGTGATGTGATGCAGATGAAGAGGCCTCAGCCAGGTAAACTGGGGGTCTTCTCTCAGTCACACTACTACCTGGCCCTGTACCGTTTTAAAGCAATCGAAAAAGATGACCTGGACCTGCAGTGAGTGAAGCTACTTTCTCGAGTTTACTTGCTGTTTTTGGTAACACTTTATTTAAAGGATACCTTCATGGGGACTTCATAACACACACATAAACACTGAATAATAAATTTATAAAGAAATATTATTTACGAACAGCTTTTGCTATTAATCACAATATGACATGTTTTATGACGTTGTATTGACATAAGGGGCCTTAAAATAAAGTGACAGACATTTCTCCCATTTATAATCATAATAACTCAGAGTTTGTTTATTTTTAATGCTTAAAGGTGCAGTGTGTAACATCACCCCTCCCCTTCCAAGTGTGTAGTAGAACCTACAGTGGCTGTAGGTTCTACTACAGGCGGTTCTACTCGCCTGTCCCGATTTCGTTTTGCATCTTCATGTTATTGCTTCTTTGACGACGAGGATTCATTCTCCTTTGCTTTTTTCCTCTGCTAAATAAGTATGATCCTTCATTTGTCAAAGTTTGGTTCTCAAACTTCTTACAACACAAAGTGGTTAGCCAGTATCTGCAGCAATCACTTTCTGCTTCTTCCAACCGGCGCTATAGCAAATTCAAACATAAGAATGCGAAAGCTGTTCCCTAGAGCCATTGTTTGTCCATATTGGGTTGCTGTAGGAACACGGTGGCCTCTGCTGAAGGGTGACCTGCTCCCTGTGTAGATATGAAGGGCTCATTTTAAGCTAATGAAAACATGATTTATAGATAAAAGTAATGATATACTAACAAACACATGGTTGAAGACGTAGAATATTCCATTTCTGGTAATTAACCCCCCTAAATCTTACACACTGCACCTTTAAGTACATTTAAAAGCAAGAAATTTGTACTTTTGTACTGAAGTGGAAATAAGGACAGAGAACTTCTACTTTTACCGAAGTTGTATTTTACCCAGAGCATTTCTACCTTTACACAAGTACAGGCATTTTACATAGGACTCTTAGTATGAATGGGAAAAATATTGTACCGTGCTGGGAGAAGGTGTTCTTGGTTTTGGGGGTTTCTTATACTGGGGGACTCTTCTTGTGAAGAGTGACATTGGGAGCCGCCATTTTTAGGGGTCTATGCTTCCACATGGGAAGAACTGGACAGAGAGATCTATGAATGGATCAGTGCGAATCGGTGCTGATTGGCATGGACATGCTGCAGGCTTTTAGGCCATAGCAATGCTGGAGCTAGTCATTAGCCTGAAGCCTGGCTTGTTTTTATAGTGTAGCTGTGGCCAAAACAGCTCCAATAAAGCATATAACTTGTATATAGTTGTGTTCCCTTAATATGTATAAAAAGTGTCATTTAAGTTCAAAGATATCAAAACTGATATATGGAGTTCTTAACTAGGCCTTTGCCTTGTGAGATTCATTAGTTGGGAATGATGCTTCATAATTCTGTAAATGGAATAAGTGGCACTTTAGTTTGCGGCCTTATGTCAATAGTATGTCATTTACGTCATAAAACAACTTACATCATCTTGCTATTCATGGCATAAGATGTTCATAAATCCTCATGTACTGCTTTATAAATGCATTATTCAATGCTTATGGATATGTATGAAGTCCCTATGAAGGTAGCCTTCAAATAAAGTGTCATACTGTATCATACTTTTTCATTTCATTCATATTAGAATTTTGTGTACATGTTAGAGGTACAAATCTCTGACCTTACAGCAATTTGATTACAGTACTTTTAGTGTATCATGAAATCTCAAATTCCACTACAATTCAGTTCTGTTTGATTGTTTTGGAGCATTTTATAATTAGAATTAAAAATATGACATGAATACAAATATGACTGGAGAAAGTATTCATACAGTAGTGGAATACAGACCAGAAAAATACATTTTTGAGAATTTTTTTAGTTTAAAAATAGCCAGAGAACTTTATTTTTGAGCAAAAATGAGCACAAATTTGAAATATTATTTTATAATACTATTATATTAGTTAGAATTCTAACATTGCAAAGCTGGTGTTCTCAAATCATCACGTTAAGAACACATTTTTAGTTTTATGTGTTATGTGTCTTTTAGTGTCTGTGTTTGTGCTGTTTAACTGTGTGTTTATGTCTCTTCCAGTCCAGGGGATCGAATTACAGTGATAGATGATTCCAATGAGGAGTGGTGGAGAGTAAGTATTTAACAGTAATAAACACTGTTACTGCACCTGAGCTACACACTGAACTGCTGTTTATACAACTGAAGAGTCACTTTAAAGTTAAGTTAAAGGGGAATCTACATATGTTTTACCCATTTTTGCATAATTAAATCATTAAGATATAAACAAACCTATTTAGGATTTGAGATGAAATGCTCCGAGCAAGAGAAACTTGCTGAGTCAGAATTCTTCACAGTGGTGGTGATAGGAACCAGATGATAGAATCGTTCAGTGCCTCTAAAATCTGCCTTATAGAAAGCTGGAATGGTCAGGGAATGCTACTTGATGCCTGAAACATTGTTCTTTGATAGTTTTGTGAAGATTTTGGCCCTTTTTAAAATCTATCCCATGGTGGAGAGGTACATTTTAATATTTACCACAAATTTATTATTATCAACTTTACATCTAAAACTCAAAAACATGTATAGGTTCACTGGTCGTTTTGGATAGTAAATATATTTGCATTGTAGACGTAACAACCCCTGGTTCCTGTAGCACCACTGTAAAGAAATCAGTAAATTTCTGTAGAATGCACTATTTCACATCAAACCACTCGATGTTTATATCTCAACGAATGAATTACAGAGAAATTTTGAAAAACTGGTGCAATTCTCCTTTAAAAGAAATGTCTATTTGGGAATTTAGCAGTATTATGACTGACAGTCTAAAAAATGCACCAGCTGTTGTTCCTGATCTGCTAAGCATTATGTTGGTACGTAAATGAAGCTGATCTGGAGAGGAGGAGTCACAGTCACACAGTGTGGCGGTGTGCATGTTTCAGGGTAAGATTGGTGAGAGATCGGGCTTCTTGCCAGCAAACTACATCATCCGCGTCCGCTCGGGGGAGAGAGTGTACAAGGTAACACGCTCCTTTGTGGGGAACCGTGAGATGGGCCAAATCACGCTGAAGAAAGACCAGGTTGGAACATGCATGAACACAAGTATACACAAAAGTAGAGCGCACACACCAACTAATGAGTCATGCAGTGTTTTTTCTGGTGAGTGTGTTCATAGAAAGATCAGTTATATTTCCATTATTCACTTGGGCCAAGGACTGTATAACTCAGTATACAGCACTGTGCTAAGGTCAGAGACCACCCTTCAGTTATTTAATAGCCGTTAAATGCAAGTTCAGCATCAGAAAAAAAGCACAAAATCTACGTTTAACAGAAGATTACACAGAAGCATCAGCAACTTAATAAAATACCATTTTTTTCAGTATTTAGTGTGTCTTGCTTTCAGTTTTCCAAAGAAATCTGCATCCCAAACACATTCAGTGATGTTGAGGTCTGGATTCTGGGGTGGTCAGTCCATTGTTCTGAGAACTGCAGCAGTTTCTTTATCTTATTTGCAGTTTTTCTCCTTTTTTGTCTATTCTCTGTCCTCAGTAACAGCATCTTAACAGATGCACGTCTTTTAAGACTCATAGCGCTGAGTTGTCTTCTCACAGTGGAAGGATGGACAGAAACACCTGTGGATTTCTGAATCTGAAGCAAGAGTGGAGCTTGATTTTTCTCCCAGTTTCTCTGTAACTTTTAATCATTTTCATTTAAACTGTGGAAACGTCTGCTTTTTATTTATTTTTATTTGACTTTCTCCTTCCTTATTCAAGTGGATTGTCTATCAAATCTCCTGAGAAATATCTCTTTTGCACAGTACTGTATGCATATGCATAGGTCACTTTCAGCCAACCAAACCTGACACAAGCTGCCTCACCATGACATACTTAATGTTTGCCTGCATGTGCTTAATCGTTGTTAAAATTCTGGGAGCGTCGCATTGTCTATTATTTTTTGACCTTTGTACTTATTATTTATTTATTTGAATTTGCATGTGTTTATTTCTGTGTGCTTGTGCAGATTGTGGTGAAGAAAGGAGATGAGGTAAATGGCTATCTGAAGGTCAGCACTGGACGCAAGCTTGGCTTTTTCCCTGCAGATATCCTCCAGGAGATCTGAGGGCAAGGGTGTGTGTGAACATTTGTATTCATGTGTAAAATGAGTCAAATCTGTTTCTTTTCTGTCTTCACTAAATCACTCTACTCTATACTACATTTGCTTAGAAAGGGTTTAAATGCAACAAAGGGCTAATAAACTTTTCGTTATTTCATCATTGGCTGTGAATTTGTCTCAGTATGTGCAAATGTGCTAGTAGAGGCTAAAAATATAAATGAAAATGTAGACTTACTTTGCTCTGCTTTGAGCTTTAGCTCAGATATAGCCACTTTTCTCGCATCTCTGGCAGGAAACTTTTCCGTAAAAGGAATAGTTTCTTGTAAAATGTCTCTCAGCATTCGACTTTTTGTGAGGCTGAAGCCGCTTCTCATTTGCCAGCTTCTTGTTTGAATTTTCTTATTCCGCCTTAAATGGCATAGCAGGTCAGAATGTAACTGCTGCACTATTTAAGGTGGAACGGGAAAATTTGAACAAGCAGTTGGTGAATGAGAAGTTGACTTTAGCTTCGTGACTTTTTAGTGTTTGACAGTTTCTCGTTGCAGATTAAACGTATCAGGAAACAAGCTGGAGTGATTATAAATGCAAATAGGTCAGTTAGTCTCCAAATTATCCATGTTTGTCTTAAATCTCTCTCTTTGCCTTTTTGTTAGCCACTATCTAGGTGAGATTGTTGTCTGTGTTGTTATGGTGACCAGCAGTCTGCGCACCAACCTTCAGGGTTAAAGGGTGTATTAGCAGTTCTACATTAACTCCAGCGTTTAAGACCATTTATTGTTAAAACTGTGTTTGAACGATCAGCAGAGCTTTATTTTACTGCAAAGAAGGATTATTTTATTCGAGCCACATGTTGCCGACCCCTGGGTTAGGGTCACTTCCTGGTGGGCCAAATCAAACATCTTCACAGGCCGACCCTGGCCCACAGGCTTCACTTTTGGCAGCTATGATCTATAGACAACATATCTATAAATGAAAATCTAAAGCACCGTCCGAGGCGTCTCATAATGTAGCTTTCAAAGGAATTAAGCTCTTCGGATGTCTGGTTCCCATCACCGCCACTGTGAACCATTGTGACTCTAGTCTGAATTCCAGACTCTAGTCTGGAGTGCAGCATTTCACCTCAAACTACTTTGAATGACGTTGTTTACATATGAACTATTGAATTATTTAGAAATTTTGAAAAATCTTTTTTCTCTTTCTCCTTTTTTCCCCTCCTTCCTCTCTCACTCTCTCTTTTCTCCCCCCATCTCCTCTCATGCTCTCTCTTCTCTGTCACTCTCTCACCCCCTCTCCATCTCTCCATCTCTCTTCTCTGTCAGGCGTCAACCAATGTGAAATGTTTGTGACATTCTAGTCATAATTATATGCAGATACACACACACACACACACACACACACACACACACACACACAGCTCCTCTGGCAGTCAGTGGCGAGTGTGATGCGTGCGCAGGTAACCGTTAAGCTTCAGCAGTCGCCTGATTGGCCGACAGCAGCCCCGTCAGATACGGGTCACTTCCTGTTGATGGCTGGCTCGGCGCCACTCGGGCAAGGGCGGCAGGGACAGGGCAGGGTGACATCAGATTTGCTGTGTCATAGTTGACCTTTGACCTCTGTCTGCCAAGAATGACAGAAGCAGAGGGCAGAGAGAAAGAAATTGTGAAAAGTCTCCTATAAGCTGTTTTATTAGTACCTCTCCAGTATTTCAGATGAACCTCATATAGATATATTGTTATTTTTCGTTTTTGTTGTTCCTTTTAATTCTACTGTCATGTAGTTACAATGTATATTTCTTACCACCGGATGTCGCTCTTGCCTCTTCTTCCCCAGAACTCAGCTCTTCATCCTCAGTTTGCTCTCCCACACCTCTCTCTCTCTCTCTCTCTCTCTCTCTCTCTCTCTCTCTCTCTCTCTCTCTCTCTCTCTTTCTCTCTTTCTCTCTCTGCATCAATACTTTATCTTTCTCTTTTGTTTGGCCTCTAACAATAACGTCTCCCGCCATCCTTCCATTCCAAGACCAAATCTATAATCTATTTGCTCGGCTCTTGTGAAAGGCCATTAATGCTGGTTTTACGTGAACAGGACGAGCATGTGTGTCTCTCACTCTCTGCGTCTGGCTCCTGTCATGTGGATTTCTCTCAAGCTCTCTGACTCTGAAAGCAGATTCGTAATGAATGGACATTTAAGTGGCTCAGATAGCTGGACGTCAAGTCTTAATGGTACACTATGGGCTAGTTTCCTGGACTTGGATTAGGCCTACTCTCATAACGTCAATAGTGATTCTTCCTTGAATGTCCATATTTATCCAAGTTAATCTTAGTCCAAAAACCCAGCGCTACAGTTGTGGGCAAGTGTTTGAATGCCACTGGTAAAATAAATAACATACACATGCTTTACTGGGAGCAAACTCAAGTATGGCATTTTTCATTTTTTAGTGCACAGTTTTTATTTATATGCAATGTAATATGTATGTAAAATGTATATATAAATATACAATCTAAAATGTGCCATGACTTTTGCACAGGCCACATTTTATGTTTAATTGTTTTCAATATATCAAATTCAACAAACAGTAACTGTGCATAAAAATGTGCAGAAATGTGTTCTCTATAGAGGATGTTGACTTATTTTTCACATATTTTACTTAGAAAATCAACAAAAAATACCATTTGATCAGGGGTGCTCAAACTTTTGCATACAACTGTAGGTGTCTCGTCACATGTCCCAGTCCTAATTCATCCACAGAGACCAAGGAAGGCTTGGGAGACATGCCACTATCCTAGAGTATGTGGTCTCTGGGGGAGAAAAAATAACAGTTGTTTATTGCTTGTAAACAAAGGGATCAACACATCATGTTCCAGCTCACCATAGGGTGAGATAATTGCAGTCAGCAGACGAGACGTCTAAAAAGATGTTCAGTAATTAGTGGGCTTGTTCAGGAAAGAGATATAAATGAGAGCAGCTTTATAAATCACAGACTGTACCTTTAACTAGTGTTTCTCTCCAGACCTCTTCCAATTAGTGCAGTCAAGTTTTCTTCCCCTCGAGCTGCAGAGTTACACATGTTGCGTTTGGCAAAACATCAAGGCCTTTTAGTGCTGTGGCCAGTAGAAGCTTCTTAGCAGCGCGGGGGTGAGGCCTACCGCTGTGGTACAGGTTTGAATCTCAGTTGTGCCATGTGCAGGGGGTCCTGAGGAGTCCTTGTAGTGGCATTCTGACTTGAATAAAGGGATGAATACATTAAGTCCAGTATTTTGAGGTTAGGTCTCTGACCTCACAAGAGAATTAGATTGTTATTCTTTAGAAAATGATTAAATGCATCTTGAAACCTCAGATTTGATTCAATTAAATTCAGTGTTAATGATATGATTTTGTGACTGGATAAACCATTTTGTCGCTGTCAGCGTCACAAAATTCTTCTTTCTTTTTATTTTGTTTATTTTTTGTTTTTACTCCTTTTGAAAATACCAGTTTGCCTTTAAACTGTGTGAACACTTCATGATGAATGGACCAATCAAAATGGTCCAGACTTACTGGGAATTAAATGTTCTTACAATAACCTGCCTTAAAGTCAGGAATGTTTTTCCCCCTAACATAAAGTTACCATTTCGGAGATACGAGATTTTGTTACAACGGATACAATGTACTACACTTAATCTGAGCCAGAAGGCAGAGATGCAATTTACACTGTAGTGAAATGTAGGCAATAACAGCAAACCAATATTTCAGTTTTTAAATAAAAAAGTGCATATTTCATTTAATATTATTATATTGTCATTACCTACAAATGTGTCATGATTTTTACAGTCCCATTAAAAGGAGAATTCCATTTTTTTTCAAAATATTTGTATATTTTAATTACTAAGATGTTAACAAAGTAATTCAGAGTGGTTTGATGTGAAATGGTTCATTGCAGAGAAACCTGTCGACTTTCTTTACAGTGGTGTGATAAGAACCAGGGGTTCACAAATATAGCCATTTTATTTACTGTCTAAATCCACCAGTGACCTACATGTGTCTTCTTATATGTATTAGATAAATTTTTATATGTAATGTTGGTAATAAAAAAATAGTCTATGAAATATTTTCTTATGGCACTGTTTGCCTTACAGCACCCTGCATGTACCTCTTTGCCATGAGTGTATAAAAAAATAATAATAAATAAATAAATAATAAAATAAATAATAAACGTTTTAGGCCAAAATCTTATTTCAAATCTATCCTAAAACAATGTGACAAGCATGAGGCAGCGTATTCATAACCATTTCATGTCATAACTTTCTATGAGGGAGCTTTTACACATTAAAGGACCCAGAACATGGAAAACAAGTTTACCTCACATTTTTTGACAAAATAAATAAATAAATAATGTGTGTAAATAATGCTAATGTGTCAAAATGCACCATTCACTTCCTATTCACAGTCCATGTATGGAAACTAATCTTTAAAAACTGCCAATTTTTTGCATTGTTTTGTGATTTCATATGTCCACCTATTCAGCCTAAAGCAGGTTAGCCCCGCCCATTCACACTGAAGTCACATACAGAAATAGTCCATAAACCCAAGTGACCATCTTGGCTCTTTAAACACCTCAGACGTCTGGTTCCTATCACCACCACTGTGAGCAATTCTGACTCAGTAAGCATTTCACATCAAACCAGTCTGAATGACTTTGCTAATGTCTTGACAGTTGCAGTCCCCTGTTGCATTCTATGCTTTATGCACAAGTGCATGATGGGTAATGTGTCTTTTCACTCAAACACCTGACTGCATTCAAGAGCCCTGTCCATCCAGCGCTGCTTCAAATCATATTAAGGGCCCAAAGAAAACCCATCCATCAAGGCTTCGAGCTACTTTTAGACTTTGAAAAATGCTGCAAATGTGTTTAGAAAGTAGGCTAATAGAATAAAAGTATTTCTCACGGCGATGTGCAGGATCGAGCCGGTATTGATTTTAGCACATTGTTTCAGACACTCTCGTCCGCTCCATTAATGTTTCTCTTCCCCAGTCCCTCACAGCCACCAAACTGCATTACGGCATTAGAGAACGGAATCAGTTATTTTTACATGTTTTCTTTTTTTCCCCTCATTGATGATATATTGCATTATCTTTGTGCAAGTAAATGTGCCCTCTCTGTCTCTCTCTCTCTCCCTCTCTCTCTCCCTCATACTCACTCTTTTCTGTATCTGTTTTGCCAGGCCCAGTAATGGTCGAATCTATGAGGCATAATATTAAATCTCTGACACGGCTCTTTGGGAAATTGTTGAAGAATAACTATTCTTATTCCATCTCATTTTTCACTGTGGTTGAATTCAATTATCTAATATGATTTGTATGCTTATTAATCTTCATTATTCATAGATTCAG